CGCCGTCGCCGCCCCCTCCTTCGCCCGAGCCGTCGCCGCCGCCGATGCCGCCGCCGTGCGAGTGCCCGGAGGCCTTCCCCGTCTGCTGGAAGGATGGCTGGGGCGCCGACCAGTCTTGCTACTACTCTGAAGACTCGCAGTACCCTGGCCGCGAGTGCCGCAACACCTGCACCGGTGACTACGTCGCAAAGCCGAGGTCGCGCGGCGGCGGCTTCTTCTCGTTCTTCCGCGGCGGCCGCCTCGTCGAGGAGTCGGCCAACGCGCCCAAGTCCCCCAGGTTGCTTCCCGTCGCGGCGGCCGCCAGCGGCGTCGCTGCGCTGCTCGCCGCGTTCCTCACGCGCCGGCAGCTGCAGGCCCGCGCCGGCTATGCCCAAGTGGAGCACCCGCTCGTGTGAGCGGCCGCTGCCTCGCCGCCGCCCACGCGCCGCCGCGCCGGGGCGCGGTCACTCGCCATGTCCATGTCTTGCGCGCTGGAGCGACGCCGCTGCCGCTTGGGAGACAACCCCCGCCCGCGTGCCCTCTCCATGGGCCGGAGGCATGCCGGGGGCGGGGGTCGCGAGCACACGCGGAGCGCGGCCAGCGCAGCACGCCCGCATCTAGATGGCACCGTTGGCCACGGGCCGAGTACACACTCCGGACCGCCGCCGCCTCTCGCTCAAAGACAGAATCTTCGGGGCGGGGGCGTGGGGCGAGGAGCTTCCGTTGACCGTTCGCCTCCGCGCGTGCGAGCTCAACCGTGTACGTGTTAAGGTGCATGCGGGTCGTTGTTTTTACGCATGTGTCTACTCATGTTCTTTGCACGAAGACTAACAGTAAAAAGGGCTCACGAAGCTCGAAGGACCGGGTGGGTCGCGCAGTCGCCCGCGGGGCGCGCCGGCCGGCGCGCTGCCGCGTGCCGGGGCGCTGGCCGCTGGCAGCGCGCTTGCGCGGCGCTGGCCCGCTGCCTTGCGTGCAGCAAGTGTGCCGAATGGCTCAAGTCGAAACTCGCCGATCGCTCGCGCTCAGCAACCTCCTGCCCTTGCCGCTTCTCCTGCTCGGGGCGGCCACCTCGCAGCACTCCGCCGCCCCATCGGCGGCAGGGAAACCCCACTCTCTGCAGTGCTGCCTACAAGCAGAGCGAACGGCGGCTGAATCGTCGACACGCTCTCCCCTCGCCAAGCCGATGCCGCCCCCGACGCGCCGTGAGCACTGCAGCGGCGACGCGGCGGCCGGCGGCTTCGTTTCTCTCCACTGCCGCAACACAGCCTCGGCCGCCACGCCGTCGCGCACCTACGCGTGGCACACGGCACCGTTGCAGTCTACCCGCGGGCTGCTAAGACAAGACGCACAGCCGAGTGTTAGGACAGCCAGGACAGTTGGGATGCAGGGACGTGTGCTCAGGACGTGTGCTCAGGACGTGTGCTCAGCATCGAAGGTGCGGCGCCTCCCTCACGAGCATCGCCTCGCCGTAGTGTGCGGGCGGGTCCGACCAGCCGAACGTGGGCAAGCGATCCGCAAGCTGCACGTATGCGACGTCTGCGCCGCTGGCCCGAACTGAGTCGGCGGCGTGCGCTGCGGCGGCGGCCCCAAGCAGCGCCGCCTCCTGCTCGGCGGTCCGCGCGGCGCCGTCTCGCGACATCCCTCCCGACCGCGGAGGCGCGGGCCGGTCGAGGTCTGCCGAGGAGGCGGCGGCGCGCAGCGGCTCCTCGAGCTGCGTCAGCAGCGGGAGCGACCTGCAGCGGA